AGTGTTATGAAGGAAAGAGACTGTGGTGTAATAGTCGATCAGTCTCTAAAGCCATCCAAGCAGAGTGCTGTTCCTAGAGGTAGGGCAAATAGGATTTTATGTTGTATCTATAGAAATATTGAAAACAAGTCTAAAGAGGTTATAATTTCATTGTACAGGTCACTGATTAGGAGTGTTGTGTTCAGTCTTGGGCTCCTTACCTTAGGAAAGACATTCAATTGTTGGAAAGGGTTCAGAGAAGGGTTAATAGAATGTTGCATTGGATGGAGGGATTGTAATAAAAAGAGAAGCTGAAATCTCTCAAATTGTTTTCTTTTGAAAAAAGAAAAGTTATGGGGGATCTGATTGAGGTGTTTAAGATTGTAAAGGGAATTGATAGTGTTGATGCATCATCCGTTTTCATAATTAACAGTGAGAATAGTAGGACTAGGGGATACAAATATAAATTTTGACAAGATAGGAGTCATCTTCAGCTAAGCCAGTTTCATTTTTCTAACAGGGGTGGTTGACCTTTGGAATGAGTTGCCTTTAGATGTTGTAGAGGCAGTAAATTTAAGTGAATAAGAAAAAACTTGATAAGTATGTGAATGATTAAGGGCTGCCTATAAGATTTAAAAAAATATTTTGATTTAGCTTGGAAGATGGAACAGCCAAGATGGACATGGGTCCCATTTTGCCCCAAAACATTATATTACGTTACCTTCATCAGATTATTTTCAAAAATCCCATTTATTACTGCGTTGAAAACAGAACCGAAAGTATCAATATCTTCATACTTTGAATTCCTGTATGTATTAACTACTGTGCATGTTTCAAAATAAGTTATAATTATATATATATTTTCTATTCTAAATCACCAACTTTGTCTTCCACCTCTTCTACTGTATAATATTTCTTATATCAGTATTATTAACAACAGTAGCAATTTTGTTTATACTTAATTTACTTTATCACAAACTGATACTGACAGTGTTAGAGCTTTTCAATCGCGTTTCAGTTTGTATTTCGTAAATTGTAACAACGATATAATTATAAATGGACAACACTCACCTAAAATAAAAATATTACTAAATTTCGGTCGTACGATGAAGAAACCTTTTAAGTTTCTCAAGCCTAAATATTAAACTGTGCTTATATTTATAATTTGTAAAGTTCTGAGAATATGTACTGAATATAACAACTGTCGTTATGTCATCAAAAGCGCAATTCTCTTTCTTACTTCTTGATACGCACCTACGAATAACATAAAACTGCATAAGAAATTACGCGTAGTGGTTGTTCAATAACGTAAGTCTATATACACGCCCTCTGTAAACGTTGATTTAGACTTTTCTAGAATGTTGAATAACAGTTTTTTACACTCTTTATGCAAAATCCGATCAAATATGTTGGAGAGTTCAAACTAAGTTCACTATAGATTGAAATAATGGGGGGGGGGGGAGACAAGTGTGAGGATATTTGAATTTTTGATATATTGATTAATTATTACAATAGCCAATGTCATGCAACGGAATCCTTCTTAAAAGTTTGTATACAAAAATAACATACCCCTTCCCCCTACTGGCACAGCGGCAAGTCTGCGAATTTATACCGCTAGAACCTGGGTTTCAATACCCGTGGTTGACAGAGCACAGATAGCCCGTTGTGTAGCTTTGTGCTTAATAACTAACAAACAAACTCAACAGTTATATTCCTAACGATATCTTCTGTTTTAATATTTTAGTTTCGAAAATACAGTCGTTGTTCTTGTTATTAAACCCAAAGCTACACGAAGGGCTATCTGTACTCTGCCCACCACGGGTATCGAAACCAGGTTTATAGCAGTATAAGTCCGCAGACATACCACCGTGCCACTGGGGGCAAAAAATACAGTCACAATGGATAGACTTTAAAAATCAAATATGAAGGGTTGATGTACACAACGTTTTAAGGACGTAACAAAGAAGTAAAAGTTGGAAAAGTCCATCAACATTATAACACTAAATATCAAGGAAATAATAATAATACTAAAGGAGAAATTTCGCATATCTCTGTACTTGTGTATAATATATATAACATGTAAATTAAGATAATCGTCCACAATTTTCATAAAAGTTATACCTCTTAAATTTTTATTATGAGTGCTTTATTAAAAAGTCTCTACATAGTGAGCTAACTTCTTTAGGTCTACTACTATTGAAAATAGAAAAAAAGCTAGGTGCTGTGGTATTTGCAGGTAAAACTGAATAACGGGAGATTTGACAAGATATTTATTACAATTCTTAATTTCTATGAAACTGAACAAGTTCGTGACAGTGGAATATTCTGAACACAATGTAAGTAAATAATGTGTATATTATCTCAAGTTGCTGAACAACTGCTTTTACTGGATCGAAACCGTTTTCCCCCAAATGTTTCGGCCATGACCGTATACCAGACTATTTAACCATATTGTT